CTGTTTCTGGTTCAAAAGTGGCTTGACCTGGGGAATGCGGCACCTGTAGCACATTTCCTGCACATGCCTGTGCACGGTGGCTCTGGATGTTTCTACTCCAGACTCAGTCCACTGCTTCCACAGGTCCCCCAAGGTCTGGAATCGGCCCTTCTCCACAATCCTCCTCAGGGTCCGGTCACCTCTTCTCTTTGTGTAACATTTTCTGCCACACTTTTCCCTTCCCACAGACTTCCCACTGAGGTGCCTTGATACAGCACTTTGGGAACAGCCTATTCATTCAGCAATTTCTTTCTGTGTCTTACCCTCTTGCTTGAGGGTGTCAATGATGACCTTCTGGACAGCAGTCAGGTCGGCAGTCTTACCCATGATTGCGGTTTTGAGTAATGAACAAGGCTGGGAGTTTTTAAAAGCCTCAGGAATCTTTTGCAGGTGTTTAGAGTTACGTCGTTGATTCAGATGGTTAGGTTAATAGCTTGTTTAGAGAAACTTTTCATGATATGCTAATTTTTTGGGACAGGCATTTTGGGTTTTCATGAGCTGTATGCCATAATCATCAGTATTAAAACAATTAAAGACCTGAAATATTATAGTTGGTGTGCAATGAATCTGAAATATATGAAAGTTTCATTTTTCTCATTACATTATGGAAAATAATGACCTTTATCACAATATGCTAATATTTTTAGAAGGATCTGTACACTGTATGCCACCTGTGTCCTGATGTTCTCACCTTATCAGTGTCTGAAACTATCTGTATATACCTTGTGTTATATTATTGTTCCAAATTGAACAAAGGGAGCAATTGTGAAAGAAAAAATATACTTGAGTATTTTGTATTGTTTTAGTCAAGTCTTATGCATATTATTTAGTTGTCATGTCCATTTGAGACCACCCACATGCCATTTCCTATTGAAACATCTGTTCCTCATTACACCATGGGACAGGAAGTCAGAGGGGCCTTGTTGAGTGTGTGAAGCCATCAGAATATTAGTTCCCAGAAACTGCTCGCACATAAATCACTGCGATAGAGAGGCGCCTGACCCGATCACCAAGGAACTGTTTGTCTTAGCCCTTAAGGCAAAGGATCCACCATCTGGAACCTGTCAACTGCCCTATGGGGCCAGGGATGTTTTATGACATGTGGAGGTGTATAAATGAAGCTGTACTGCTCATGTTTTTTGAGAACACGCAGAACTGACTGAGCTGCGTTTTTTGTTCATGTGTTTTCATTCTGCAGAAGAAAAAATAAACTTTACTACGTGTTTTTGAACAAAGTTCTCAGTCTACTAAATTTTATTGAACAACAAAGTTTGATAAAACTCAACACCAGCTCCCGTCTTTAGCAACATGTCTGCTAAATCCCATCCCAACCAGACTGTTTAAAGAGGTATTTCCCCTAATTAATGTCCACATTTTGGATCTACTTAATTTCTCTTTAATGAATGGTTATGTACCACAGCGCTTTAAGGTTGCTGTAATTAAACTTAATTAAATTAAATTAAGAAGTCTGATCTTGATTCAGAAATTTTGGCCAACTATAGACCTAAATCTAATCTAACTTTCATCTAAAAAAAATCTAGATAAAATAGTTGCAGGTCAGTTGCGTGAACATCTACAAAGAAATAATCTGTTTTGAAGAGTTTCAGTCAGGGTTTAGAGCTCATCATAGTACAGAAACAGCACTAATAAAAGTCACTAATGATATTCTCATGGCCGCAGACAATGGACTTGTGTCTGTACTGGTCCTGTTAGACCTCAGTGCTGCATTTGATACAGTTGATCACAATATTTTACTACAGAGGCTTGAATATGATATTGGGATTACAGGAACAGCTCTAACATGGTTTAAATCATATCTATCTGATAGATTCCAGTTTGTAAATGTAAATAAGAAATCTTTTTTATACACCAAAGTTAGTCATGGCGTTCCTCAGGGCTCAGTGCTTGGGCCAGTACTCTTTACTTTATATATGCTTCCATTAGGTAAAGTTATTAAACAGCATGGGATAAATTTTCATTGTTATGCTGATGACACACAATTATATTTGTCCATTAAACCCAATGAATCCAATCAGCTACTTAGACTACAAGCATGTCTTAAAGACATAAAAACCTGGATGACCCTTAATTTTCTCCTGTTGAACACAGACAAGACTGAGGTTTTTGGACCTGAGCACCTTAGGAATGAATTTTTCAGTCTTTTTCCCTCCTTAGATGGCATTAATCTGTCCTCCAGCTCTAATGTTAAAAATCTTGGTGTTATTTTTGATCAGGACATGTCTTTTATCCCCCACATTAAAAACGTTACTAGAACTACCTTCTTCCACCTGCATAATATCACTAAAATTTGAAACATCTTGTCTAAAAATGATGCAGAAAAACTGGTCCATGCATTTGTCACGTCTAGACTGGACTATTGCAAAGGTTTATTATCTAGGTGTTCAAATACTTCTTTAAAACGTCTCCAGTTGATCCAAAATGCTGCTGCCAGAGTCTTAACCGGAGTTAGTAGGAGAGATCATATTTCTCCAGTTTTAGTTTCTCTCCATTGGCTCCCTGTCCAATCCAGAATAGAATTCAAAATCTTACTTCTAACCTACAAAGCTCTCAACAGCCTAGCTACATCTTATATTACAGATCTTATTGTTCCATATTTTCCTAACAGAGCACTTCGCTCTCAGACTGCAGGTTTACTTGTGGTTCCTAGAATTTACAAAAACAGAATGGGAGGCAGATCTTTCAGTTATCAGGCTCCTCTTGTGGAACCAACTACTAATCTCTGTCCGTGAGGCTGACACATTATCCAGTTTTAAAACTAGGCTTAAGACTTTCCTTTTTTCTAAATCCTATAGTTAGGGTCGGCTTGGGTTTCCTGAGCTGTCCCTTAGTTATGCTGCTATAGGCTTAGACTGCTGGAGGACAAACTGACCACAATTTTCACTCTGCTACTCTTTACTTACTCTGCTCAACCTGTTTTGTATTTGTAATTATTTTTTCTATCCTTAACATGTTTTTTTTTTTTTGTATTTCAGATACACCTGGACCAATACCTGGACCTACCATTCTGTGTTCGTCTGTCTCTCCTTCCTGTCCTCTCAACCAGCCGGTCAAAGCAGATGGCCACTTGTCCTGAGCCTGGTTCTGCTGGAGGTTTCTTCCTTTTAAAAGGGAGTTTTTCCTTTCCTCCGTTGCCACTGTGCTTGCTCAGGATGGGAGACTACAACGAAGCCAAGATTCAACTTGTCTGCTGGATTCCTTAGATAGATAACTTTACTAATTGGCTTTTATGTATGTGAATGTTTCTGTAAAGTGCCCTGAGACAACTTTGTTGTGATTTGGTGCTATACAAATAAACTGAATTGAATTGAATTGAACAAGCTCCACTAGGTCCAAAAACAAGCATCTCTGTCTTTTTTTCATTAAAATGCTGGAAGTTTAGGGCCATCCGAGCTTTAAGATCCTCGAGACACGATAAAAGAGATTTAATGGACCAGGCATCAACTCGCCTCAAAGGCACATCAGCGTAGCAATGAAAGGAGATGCCGTGTTTTCTAAAAATCCATCCTAGAGGAAGCAGATATAAAGAAAAAAGCAAAGGCCCTAAAATTGATCCCTAAGGTACCCCACATGACAAAGGAGAAGAAAAGGATTCATACCCAGCAATTTTTACAGAAAATGTTCTGTCTGCCAGATAGGACCCCTACCACTCCAGAGCATTCCCACCGATGCCTACTTGGTGCTGTAGACGTGACAATAACATGCTGTGGCCAACTGTGTCAAACGCAGCAGTTAAGTCCAGTAAAACAAGGATCACGTGATCACCCGAGTCACATGCCAGGAGGATGTCATTAAAAACTCTCAGCAGAGCTGACTCTGCTGTGGAGAGTTTTAAATCCAGATTGGAAAACATCCGTGATATTATGTTCATCCAGGAAGGTTTTTAACTGAGCATAAACAATTTTCTCCAAGACAGGAGGGGAAGCTTGGAGATAGGCCTAAAATTCCCCAACACAGTGGGATCAAGACCAGGTTTCTTTATCAGGGGCTGCACAACAGCATGTTTAAAATTAGCAGGGACTACTCCAGATAACAAACTACTGTTAAAAAGGTCAAGAACCAAGTGTTTAAAACAAGGGAAAACCTCTTTAAGAAAGTGTAGTGGAAGAGCATCACATGGAGAACACACAGAGGGGTCAGAGTCTGGGGTAAGATGGAAGCCCTTTTAGAGGTAACCTTATTAATAAAAATAAAAAAACTGCATAAAAATATTGCACAAGGAGGTGAATGTATTTAGTTAGTAAACAATAGAGTCCTAACATTTATTAAACATTACTGTACTTCTGTATTTACATAATTGTAACTGTATTTAAAAAAATAAAAATTGTGCTTTGACAAACTCATCAATAAAACTAAAAAAATTTGTCAATGCAAAAGAGGAAAAGAGGGGGCAGGTAGCTCCCCAAACGACAAGGCAGTCTGAATTGTTCATAACATTAGCATGAGAGTTGCTAGGTCCAAGCAAACAGTTGCCGGAATACACCCTGTCAAAACAAAGATTTCCCAGATTTTGTTCCGGCAGGATCCGGCTCAAATCAAGTCCTGGAAATGTTCAGATATGACAATCAGTCAGTTTTAAGTTGAGTTGTCTTGGGTAAAATAATCTAAAAGTACATTTAGATTATTTTTTTCTCATGTGGGCAGCTATGGCTGAGTGGTTAGAGCAGTCGTCTTCCAATACAAGAGTTGGGGGTTTGATTCTACCAGCAGCCACATGCCCAAGTGTCCCTGGGCAAGAAGACACTGAAGCCCTCATTGCCTCCAATGTGTGTCCCATCGGTGTGATAAAGCACTGATTATTCTTTGTACAGATCTAGTAGAGTGCTGTATGAATGGGTAAATGAGGCACATATTGTAGTGTAAAGTGCTTTGAGTATATTGATCAGATAGAAAAGTGCTATATAAGTACAGTCCATTTCATGTTGACAGCAGTGTGCTTTCACCTGCATGATGTAGTTTCCAGGTCTGACATCTGTGATGTCGATCCACTGGCAGTCAATGTCATGTCGGTACTGATCCCAGCAGCCCACAGTGATGCCCTGATCACCAAAGTTGGCACATTCGTATCGTTTAGAAACACCTAAATGTGACAAAGAAAAGATGTTACTAGTGAAAGGCTTATAAATTGCATTGACATTTCTTTAAACCAGAAGTTTTTATTATTATCTAAAAAAGTTAAATCTGGTCCTCCGGCCATTCAAAAAACAAAACAAAGCAAAACAACAAAAAATGTAGAAACGTTTAGTCTTTCATCCGAAAGACTTACTCTTTCTTGGACTGTGAGGTCTCAGTCTCTGATAGAGGACATTTGCAAACTGAGGTGTACCACAAACCAACCCACACAGATCAGTATTTGCAGTTTGACTCCCATCACCCTTTGGAGCACAAGTTAGGAGTCATCAGGACTCTGTATCACAGAGCAGACGGCGTCCCCACTAACTCAGGAGCCAGGCAGAAGGAGAAATCCCACACAAGACAGGCTCTAGAGCAATGTGGATATCCTAACTGGGCCTTCTTGAAAGCAGAGAAGAACCCCAAACAGGACTCCAGTACCTCCAGTCAGCCATCAGGTGAAAAGGAGGAACCCAGACCATTGGTCTTTCCGTATGTTGAAGGTGTATCAGAGAAACTGAAACGTTTATTCTCTAAACACAACGTCCCAGTGGCTTTTAAACTCCAAAATACATTATGGCAACGACTGGTTTATCCCAAAGATCCAGTCCCCTGGCACAAACAGAGTAATATTGTGTATGCTGTTCAGTGTCAGGAGGGCTGTGATCAGTCTTACATTGGGGAAACTAAACAGCCACTGGCCCAAAGGATGACCCTGCACTGAAGAGCAACAACATCAGGCCAGGACTCTGTGGTCTACACTCATCTCCAGACCAGCAGTCACTCTTTCAGGGATGAAGATGTTCACATCCTGGACAGAGAGGAACGATGGTTTGAGAGAGGAGTAAAAAGGAGGCCAATTTTGTGAAAAGAAATCTTCCATCATTAAACAGGGGTGGAGGCCTCCATGTTCAACTGTCCCCGTCTTACAATGCTGTTATTGCTAGTATCACTCAGCCCTCTGTGAATAGTAAACAGCCATCAGTGTGCTAATGACCCATCGTTAGGCTGATGGTCCTTCTTGATCTTGTGAGCAGCTGGTTTTGGTTGTCAGCAGCAAAACTGGTTGATCCACTCTGAGAAGGTGCTATTTATAGGACTGAGCTGAAAACAGCACCTCAGACTGAGGAAGTCTTTCGAATGATCCTACCTGGATTATTGAGCATGCACAAGGCCGGATTAACCATATGGGAAACTGCCCAGGGGCCCATGACCTCTAAGGGGCCCTCGGCCCAGGGCAGTGACGTCACAGCACAAGCAAAAATATCTGGTCATCTCCCAGCTTTATGATAAACCATCACTCAGCTTGAGCTCTAGCACTGCACAACGACCGCGGTGCCTGTGACTCACAGACAGAGCTGCAGTCTCTGTGTAGCGCTGTCACTGAGAGGCTGCGCAGCGCTGAGTCACAGACAGCGCAGCACAGCCTCTCAGTCTGAGAGTCTCAGTGTCACTGAGAGGGTTGCGTCATGTCAAGCGTTGTTACGCAACCCGCTCGGGCGGGTTTAATTTGTAAACATATCAGAATCCAAATATACTCGTCAATGCAAAAGAGGAAGAGGGGCAGGTATCACTGTCGCCTTGACTTTATACTCTTTGTCGCATGTGTGCTGCTGTGGTTCAAGCGTCCATAGCGACATAAAAGCAGCGGCGGGTGGACGTGTAGCCGGAGTTTATCATCTCAGCAGCAGAGGTGAGCGACACCGTTCAAGCATGGTTCCCCAAGTAAGTTTTATTCATTCAAGGCAGTCATATTTGTTCATAACTTTATTATTAGTAAGCCTGACAGTCGTGAATCTAAGCAAAAAGTTGCGGGAAGTTGGAACGTGCATTACGCACCCTGTCAAAATAAGAGTTCCCAGATTTTGTTCCGGCAGAATCCCGCTCATATTAAGCACTGCCGCTCACTATACAAAAATTCAGACATGGAGAAGCTAAGTGGGAGCGCTAAACAGAAATTAAAAAAGGAGAAAGTCATCAGAAACACAGAAAATTTAAAGTATATACCGAAAATAGGTAATTTCTTCACCCCTAATGTTGCAGACTGTTTTGTTAAGTCAGCTTCTGTCAACAAGGACAACTCAGCTATCCAGGACTTTTCTTCACCGCCAATGCTAGCTCACATTTATAGCTCGGGAGAGCGAAGAGCCAGCAGCATCTTCAAACAACGAACCAGATTCTGCTGTGAGTGTGACAGCTGAGGGAAGCGGTGATGGCAGGTCTCCAGTCTCACTGCCACCTGAGCCGCTCATCAAATCTGAGCAGCCCCTGCATCTCAACACCTGTGCTCCCTGTGGATCCTGCCCTGTGGTGGGCCATTACGGAGCAGGTCTGGGAAGAGGCAATTTACAGAGGGCCTGCAGCTTTCCAGAACCGGGCTGCCAAGTATCCTGCATTGGTAAGGGAGTCTGGACTTGGGACTTGGACACGCTCCCTCACCAACGATTTGCTTCACTGTCGACTCCAAAACAACCAAACTGTGGCAAGGGAATGGCTGCTTTACTCGCCATCATCTGGATCAGTTTATTGCTATGCCTGCAAACTCCTGACATCCCAAAAGCATGCATTTATCAGCGGATTCTGTGACTGGAAACATCCAGAGAGGGTTAGTGATCATGAAAAGTCAAGTCAAGTCATCTTTATTTGTAGAGCACAATTTAAAACAGATAAACTGTTATCAAAGTGCTTAAAAGAGTGCAGAACACAGACAAAACATGTTGTCTTTATTGCACAGGTCTAAATATGCATGCAGAGTGGACGCTTCTCTTGCCTGACAGCATGAGGCAGAACAGCAGTACTGGAAAGAAGTCCTTAGACGTGTGGTTGCTGTTATTAAATTTTTGGGCGCGAGAGGACTGTCATTTCGAGGCGACGAACTGCTGGGCTCTACGCACAATGGGAACTATTTGGGACTACTTGAACTGATAGCAGAGTTTGACCCCTTTTAAAGGAGCACCTTAAGAAGCATGGCAATAAGGGTAGAGGTAAACCATCTTACCTGTCATCAACTGTGTGCGAAGAATTTATTTCATTAATGGGTGACAAAACTAAGCAAGTGATACCAGAGGAAAACAGACAAGCAAAATATTTCTTTGTAATTGTTGATTCAACACCAGATTTAGCACACGTAGATCAGCTCACATTTGTTTTTCATTTTGTCAGCGCAGATGGCAAAGTAGTGGAAAGATTCATCGGGTTTGAGCCCATCCACACTCACACAGGTGTAAGCCTAGCTGAATCTATGATTGCAATGGTGCGAGGCTTGGGGTTAGACTTGTCAAATTGTCGTGGCCAAAGTTACGATAATGCTAGCAACATGTCTGGCAAATACAGTGGGCTCCAGGCACACTTGAAAAAACAAAACCACTAATTTATTATACACCGTGTGCTGCCCATTCGCTGAACCTCGTAGGTGTTAATTGCATTGATAATTGCTGTGAGGAGGTTAACTCGTTTTTTGAACTGCTGCAGTCTCTGTATACATTTTGCAGTGCGTCAACACATCGCTGGAATACAGTTTTCCATAATAGCGAACATTACATTAAATACACAGTTAAATCCCTCAGCACCACTAGATGGAATTGCAGAGCAGACTCCACAAAAGCTCTCAATGAAAATTACAGGGCAATTAGAGATATATTAGCCAAAATGTATTTAGACTGTGATGAAAAAACACAAACCAAACTTGAAGCTGCCGCATTGGTTGCAAAACTTGATAAGCTGGAGACAGTGATAAAGACTATGTTATGGGACCGGGTACTGCATAGATTTAAAGCAACAAGTGACCAACTCCAAAAAAGCGATATGGATTTAGCTACTGCTCTTGGTCTTTTGCGCTCACTGCTTTCATTTGTTGGTTCTCTACAAGAACAGTTTTCAGAGCTAGAAGAATCAGCACGCGCTGTCAGTGCTACACAAAACTACCAGTTTGACACTCAACGTGGAAGAAAAAGAAAGAGATTTGCAGATGAGTCAGCTGATGACGGCCAAGTAGCCTTTATTGACAGTAGTCAGAAATTTAAGGTTGAAACATATTATGGCATCAGTGACAGACTTTGTTCATGCCTATCCAAGCGCATCGAAGCCTACACACACGTGTGTGACCTTTTTGGGGTTTTATTTGAGAGGGACTGTGATGATTGTCATGTGCATGTGAGAGCTGCTAAGCTGAGCTCCACTTATTCAACAGATCTGGATAGTTCCTTGTCAGATGAATTGATTCAATTCAAGCACTTTGTGCAGAATGAGACCTCACCTGTACAGCTGCTGCAAGCTCTTGAGAGACATGGAATTAAGACAGCATTTCCAAATGTTTATGTTGCACTGAGACTGTTCCTAACCTTGCCTGTGTCTAATTGTGAGGGTGAGAGGTCATTTTCAGTTTTGAAAAGGGTTAAAAATGAGCTGAGGACCACAATGTTACAGACACGGCTCTCTGCACTTTCTCTCTTGGCCTTCGAACATGAACTTGTTAGTGGCCTTGATTTTGAAGATATTATACACCAGTTTGCACAGTCAAAGTCCAGAAAAAAGCCAGTGTAAGATGTGTTTGTTCAGAGGATTAAAATGGTGTATTTTTCTAGAATATGTAGCATTTATTTTTGTATTTTCTTCTTGAGAGAAATAGACAATTTCCAAATGTTTATGCTGCACTAAAATGTTTAATTGTTTGTGATGTGACTTGTTATTGTTCTTCTGTTTTAAAACAAGTTAAAGTGAGCTTAGTTTTTTGAGCAGATGATACGGATGCTGCATTTTATTTTTTTTCCTTGTGGTGCCAGCTCATGCTGTAAATTGTTGACTGTAGTTGAGAGAAAACTGGCAGATTTCAAAATGTTTCTATTGCACTAATAATTTGACTGTTTTGTTGAATTCTGAGTCAGGGTGATTTCTGTTTAAAATGAGCTGAGGACCAAAATATTTCTTGATGTGCTGTCTGTGGAATTCTGCAATGGCTCGTTCAATTCC